CTCGCGTTAACGCGATAATAACGCAATAATTTTGACAGCACTAATATATATATATTAATTTGAAGACATTTTTACTCACATTCAGACATAGAATTATGAGAAAGGTGTAATTTTACTGTGTAGGTCGTAATTTTACTTATTTACTTATTTTATTCTGTCCTATTATATTATATTTAATTTTGCTCTATTTGTACTTCTGTAAACAGAAAATAATTTCCTGCGAGGGTATAAAGTAATTCTGATTCTGATTTAATTTAGTTTTTGCACTGTGGTTACTTTAGGAAGCCTTTCCTGATGTTTTCAGCTCCCCATCAGAAAAATGAAAAGACTCGATGGCTCACATGGTGCTGTAAATATGTATTTGTGAACATGGCTCTTTAGTGTTTGAGGAGTTACTATAAATGGAGAGAAACATGCTGTTGTTGGCAAGGATTGCTGATACTAGTTAGCACCGCTACAAATAGAAAAATCTCACTTTTGTCAGTATGGCAATTAGAAGATTCACAGCTCAGGTGGGAAGTTAGTTCCAGAATTTCAAAAAAAATTATATATATCAATAATAGATGAAAATTTGAGCTTTGAGTCTTTAATTCATAACAAAAAATATCTATAAAATGTTCTGGATCCCCTTGGTCTGTGGAAATAGTTCAGATAGAAATAGACAAAGCTGATTGAATAAATAGACAGAAATTAAAGGCTAGATTTGTTTAAATAAAAATTATGTTATTGCAATAAAATATATAATTACTTTATGAAACCTCCTCTGGATCATAAAATGTTTCTAGAATTATGAAGGATATAATATGCTGTAATTCTTACTATTGTTACCTGAGTTCAGTCAATCCTCCTCCTCAGCCAGTTCAGTTTCTTTATGAACAACCACTCTGGTAACAGACATGTCAGGATGTTGCTCTTTGGCCTCCTTAATGGCCTGTGCCAATGCCTGCAGTACCCAAGGGCAGCCACATAGTGGCGACATCAAGCACAGCAGGCAGAGGAAGGGAAGGAGGGCAAAATGATGGGATTAAATAAAGAAAATAAATGAAATAAGAAGCATAAAGAAACATCATATGATGGCATGATGCAAAATTCAGTCACCATTTTACTCTCTTGGGTTGATAGATTGGTAAATAAGAAGACCGGTAGAGTAAATGGGTTTAGATTAGGAAATTATTCCAAGTGGAATAAAATTCCTAAAATGTAGCTAAACAGAATACAGACATGCAATTTAAATAAAGAATGGAAGGAGAGTCGTGCGGGTTTTTAATCCAAATCCATTTGAACTAAATCAATTCAGAATAAAAGCCACAAAATATCTGACATTTAAAGGAAAAGATAGCAAATAATAATAATTTAAAAAAAGTAAAACTCTCAAGATCATTCAGGCACAAAGAAAAACATCCAACAAGGCAACATTTCTTTGGATGCAGAAATGAAGGGTGAAGAAAATAAAAAGAGCATTCTTGCTGCCAGCAACGTGATGGACATGTCACCAGAAATCTATTTACCAGTTGTTTTTCTTATCTTAAAGAGAGCAATTGAGTAAACCTTAAAAGCCTGACACAGTTTCAACTGAACACATCTAAACCAACAACCTAAGAGTTTCCTTACATGGTTAACTCACCCTGAGATGAAGCTAAAACCTTAGAGACAAGCTGAGGGGCTTAAAAACCCACCTGATCGTGGTCAATGTCGCAGTCGCCTGTGATCACAATGCGCTTCTCGATCCTCGTCTCTGAGAGCCCACCCTTTAATGTCTGGAACAAAACGCAGGACAGGCCTTTGATGACTCACATTTGGAGATTTGCAATGGTGAGAAACAGCTGGGATGAAAGTCACAAACCAAGCAGGCTGTTTTGTTTTACTCCAGGGTTAAAATAAAACCCTTTTGATAAAAAAAAAAAAAGCATCTGCACCAAATTCAGTTAGCTAAAAGGTCCAATTCAGGCTTAAAACAACAACAACTATTTATTATTCTTAATAAATATGAATTCCTAAATAAGAAATGAGTAAATTTTACAGGTGAGCATTTCGATTTTAACAGACGAGGGTCGCAGGTTAAATGTTCAGCTATAAAGGCATATCTGTATCAGTATGACTTTAACTTCCCACCCATACCTTTATACGTGGGAAAAATATTTATTTATATTTCAAATTAAGAAATTTTTAATAAAAAAAGATGCTTGAATTTAAAAACACCTAAAAGAAATTCTAAGTAAATGTATGTATGTATGATAATAATACTGGGTTCCTTCTCATACCTTGGTGATGTGTGTGGTTGTGGTGGTACACAAAGACTCGGATGTGATCGTCTGAGCGGTCATCAACACTCCAGGTTCACCATCACCATTACCATCCAGCTAAGTGAGAGAGGAAAAATTAGACTATTGTCGCCACATCAGCAAATTCCCAAACTGATCTCCAAACTCCAAGGCTGTGTCTGGATGAAGCCACGCCCAGCTGCTAGAAAGGAAGCACTTTGTAAAACGGCTAATAAGCAAAATTACAAACATCTTCCATAAAAATGCTAACAAACACAAGAAGAAGAAGAAAAAAAAAACTCCCTGTGCTAAATGTGCACCTGAGCGGCCTCGTATGTGATGGTCTTGGTTTCCGTGTGCACGATGGGCACCTCTTTAGTTGCTATCTCAGTTTTCTGGGCAGCAAACGTGTCTGATATAGTCACCATTTCTGTTTTTACCACAGGCGGCTGAGGAGGGAGGAGAGACAGGAAGGAGCGAGGGAGAAGGACAAGTAGTTAACAGGCTGAAATCTGAGACTGCTCTGGAATCAAACACATTAAGGAACTCTTTGGCATCACAATTACTTCCAAGGCTATAAAGTAAAGAAATGCTTCAAAGACATCGGTGCTTAAAAACAGTGATGTAGTCTAAGTTTTAATATGCAAAAATATTGGTCCCATTCCAGCCATGATTTTATGTGATAGACAAACACAAAGTAGTTCATAAATACTAAGAGGAAAATGATCCAGAGCTTAAAAATCTGAAAAGTGTGGCATGCTTTTGTATTTATCCAACTTTACTCTGATACTTTATCACCTAATTAGTGAAAAAGCTGTTCAGGGAGTTAGCAAACATGTCATATAGACCAAGACTTTAAAGATCAAAGCTACAACCTTTTTTCATCAAAAAAAAATGCTAGAGTCAGACATGTTTGAATTCATGAGAAGGTAATGAGATGGATGTGCTCGACTCTGTGGACATAGTTTTGAAACTCATTCAAAGACGGCTTCTTTCTAAGAATCATCTTCTGCATCTAATCTACTTCGCTGGCTGAACTCGATCAGGATGCTAGACGGAGATACATAGTTATAAAAGGCCGCATGAAGATTGTGGAGCTGTTGTCCACTTCTCGGAGATCTGTGCTTTCAAGTATCAGCGTTTAAGTTTCCAACAACACAGAGAAAAGTAGCTTATTTGTCTCTATATGAATAAAAGTAACTAAAATGGTTTGAAAAGTTGCTAAATGTAAGGACAAAGTAGCTCAGTTGGCAACAGTCCCTGTGGATTCATTGGCTGATGACAGACGTGCCAAGAGATCAAAGCACAAAGAGAATAAATAACTGCAGTTAAACTAAATGATTGAAATCATGTCAAATTAGATCAAAACACATTTAACATATGTATTTTTATGTATTTTTTCCATTAATTTTAGAGTTTCAATATGTTCTTTTTATTTAAAATCACCTTGGGTGTGCCCACCACCAGGGGGCGCACACATACCTCTATTTGTAAGCAAGTATACAAATATATATATATATATATATATATATATATATATATATATATATATATATA